AAATAGACATTTTCCAGTGGACAATTCTCAACGCTGCATATATGATAACACCTCAAATTGTTTCATAAGCTAGGGAATCACTATCTATTCCCACCTCTACATGTACAAGTACAAGGGACCAAAACTGTCTTCATTGTTCATCATTGCATAGGCCAATATAAAAGTGACCTCAATTTTTCTATGGGGCTCCATACAAAAATGTACATGGCAACTGATACTAGATACTTAAATAACCTTTTCTCCATCACTTTATAATATTTAAGGGTTCTGTAATGCTTTTCATGTTATCTACAGGCTTGTTAATGCATGGACAAATTTCCACTAATTCTCATAAACATTCCACAAGGAGAGAGGGTTGTGAAGATGGTGACTTTTGGTGTGAAAAGAGCATCGGACGAAAAGATTTGTCCTAGTACTGTATGTTACTAGTATGAAGTTTACAGGACATTGTGAGGGTGTTTTCTGGGTATCATAAAGTATTAGGACAAAAGGGATTGTCTGATTGGTGGTTACCAAGCAACACCTCAAAAACCCCATCTCCTTAATCAACCACTCCTTAACAACCATGCCTTTCAAAATAACAGGCTACCTTACAGAGTTTGAGAGAAGGCAAATTTTTGCTCTAAGGAAGTAAAATATTGCTTTTGCTGAGATTGGAGAGCTGTTTCATCCCCTCAAGAGTACAGTTCAAAGTTTTTACAATGAGTTTCAAATGATATGTAATGGAAAAAACTGCCCATTTACTGAAAGACCTAAAATTATTGATATCAGAACCTGTTACTACCTAGTCAGAGAGTCCAAGAAGGTATGCTACCAACCCTTATCAGAATTGTGCAATGATGTTGCATCCTATGCCTCTGTTAATACAATCAAGTAAGGATTGACTTTAGTCAATATAAAGAGGTCAAAGTGGGGAAAAGAGTGTTTCTGAAGGATGAACATACTATCAGGAAGTTGGACTGGGTAAAGGAGTATAAGAATAGAGCAAAAAAAACTTTGAAAGTGTTATCTTCAATAATAAATATATGGTTGAAAAGTCTAAAGATTTTAAAAATATTTAGATGCTCAGAATACCTTAGAAAAATTGCATAAGGACTATATTCAAAGAGTAATGAAAGGGTCTAAGATAAAGCTGATTGTTTGAGCTTGCATTTAGGGTAAAAATAAGGGTCCTCTGATTTCTATTTTGGACAGAAGTATGGATAGATTTATATATATTGAAGTTTTAAAAAATGGCCTAGTTGGTGTCTGGCAGGAGGTGGAGGACACAGTTAGAGATTCTATATTCACTAGGAAGGTGTAAAAACATATGCTGTAAGAGATACTATAGCCTGGTTTGCAGAAAACTATATATAGGTTATGGAATGGCTACCCAATTCCCCAGACTCAATCTGATTAATCCCTGTTGGAAAAGGATAAAGGAAATGTTACACCAACACTTTCCTAACATTCACAAGACTAAGGAGGATTAGAACAATATTAGAGGACATCTAGCAAAAGCTCTTAATATGGTTTGGAACTAGGATATTGAAGGAGAATTCTTGGAAGAGCTATGGGAGTCAAGGCCTAGGAGAGTGGCTACTTTTTTAGATGCAAAGAGATGGTATACAGAGTATTGATTTTTTTTTCTTTGAAATTTCACATACAGTTTTTGTTATATTAAGTGGATATCTATCTAAATTTTCAGTTCATTCTAAGTAGTTGTGGTTGCATAGGTAGTAAGTTTAGAGTGGTTGTGGGGTTGCCATTGCTGTGCCGGATGATCCCTTTTGTCCCCGTACTTTACTTGCAACCAGGCCACCTTATCCATTCACCACAACACATAATTTTCTGCTAGTGTCTAGTTCCTACGTGGTTACAACTATACTGCATACTTAGGGCCTGTTTAGATGTCCACAATTTAAATTCATGAGTTGGAAATCCACGGATTGATGGCCAGAAATCAAGAGATAGAGAAAAGTAATAATAGGACAATCTAATTTATTAGTTGCCTAGAAAGGTGGCAAAATGAAAAATACATATAATAGTGTTCTGATCAACTAAGACATGTGGTAACTAGGATAATAGTTAATTAAATGTTTTAAGAGTGTTCCAGTCCTGAATGGTTACACATGCTAGTGGACTCGGAGGCACTAGGAAGTAGTGAAAAGAATTGGGGAAAATGCAATCATGATTTTAGGATTTCTTAGAAGAAAGAAACATTGCTAAAAACAGTTGTGAATTATGATCTCAGTTATGTTAAGCTACTAAGACCTACTCTGAACCAATTATGGGAAGCAGAAGTAGACCAGGGGATAATCTGGGCAAACCCATAACGTGGGTAACATACGTTACTTTACTCCTAAACCTTGATGAACTCGCTTACTTTTCATGGCAAAAACTCTTCAGCACAAACACTGCGCTTGCCCTGCCGTAAGCGTGATATTTTAGCCTACCGTAGGGGTGAGCGCTTACCCTTGATTGCCAGTATCCCATGCTCTCTTAATAGTTGGTAAAGTACGGGGACAAAAGGGATCGTCCGGCACAGCAACGGCAACCCCACAACCACTCTAAACTTACTACCTATGCAACCACAACTACTTAGAATGAACTGAAAATTTAGATAGATATCCACTAAATATAATAAAAACTGTATGTGAAATTGCAAAGAAAAAAAAATTAGTATTCTGTATACCATCCCTTTGCATCTAAAAAAGTAGCCACTCTCCTAGGCCTTGACTCCCATAGCCCTTCCAAGAATTCTCCTTTATTATCCTCATTCCAAACCATATTAAGAGCTTCTGCTAGATGTCCTCTAATATTGTTCTAACTCCTCTTGGTCTTATGAATGTTAGGGAGGTATTGGTGTAGCTTTTCCTTTACCCTTCTCCAGCAGGGATCAATCGGGTTGAGTCTGGGGAATTGGGTGGCTGTTCCATAACCTGTATATAGTTTTCTGCAAACCAAGCTATGGTATCTCTTGCAGTATATGTTTTTACACCTTCCTGCTGAAATATAGGATCTCTAACTGTGTTCTTTACCTCCTGCTAGACACCAACTAGGCCATTCTTTAAAACTTCAATATATATAAATCTATCCATACTCCTGTCCAAAATAGGAATCAGAAGACCCTTATTTTTACCCCAAATGCAAGCTCAAACAATCAGCTTTATCTTAGACCATTTTATTACCCTTTGAATACAGTCCTTATGCAATTTTTCTAAGGTATTCTGAGCATCTAAATATTCCTAAAATCTTTAGACTTTTCAACTATGTATTTATTATTAAAGATAACTCTTTCAAAGTTTTTCTTTACTCTATTCTTATACTCCTTTACCCAGTCCAACTTCTTGATAGTATGTTCATCCTTCAGAAATACACGTTTCCCCACTTTGACCTCTTTATATTGACTAAAGTTAATACTTACTTGATTGTCTTAACAGAGGTATAGGATACAATATTATTGCACAATTCTGATAAGGGCTAGTAGCATACCTTCTTGGACTCTCTGACTAGGTAGCAACAGGTTCTGATATCAATAATTTTAGGTCTTTTAGCAAATGGACAGTTTTTTCCATTACATATCATTTGAAACTCATGGTAAAAACTTTGAACTGTACTCTTGAGGGGATGAAAGAGCTCTCCAATCTCAGAAAAAGCAATATTTTACTTCCTTAGAGCAAAAATTTGCCTTCTCTCAAACTCTGTAAGGTAGCCTGTCTTTTTGAGAGGCATGGTTGTTGAGGAGTGGTTGATTAAGGAGGTGGGGTTTTTGAGATGTTGCTTGGTAACCACCAATCGGATGATCCCTTTTGTCCTAGTACTTTATCACCTTATCCATCCTGGCCACTTGAATCCCTGATTTGTGGAGGCCCCGGTCTCCAAGTGCCAATTGTGTCCATTGGCATACAAGATTCCTCGAATGGTTGTTGGCGAGCCAGAGAACTAATTTGCAGAGAGATAAACTAGGCTGCCCCGGCCGCCAAAGTGATAATTAGATACAGATAAGGGCAGTTAGTGCTTGTAGAATCCCTCTCGGATCCCGCTCTTCTGGTGGGATGCAGCAATACCTGGAGGCTACGGACTCTCTGAGACCTCATCCTCGGCAGCACTCAATCCGCTTGGCCAAATCGCCGAGGAAGCAAGGGACGGAGGCTTTGAATGACAACAGCTCTGTCGCCCACATTAGCGGTAGCGGATTGTAGACCTGCCCCTTCCACCAAATCTGCACCTGTCGTTGCAGTCGGTAGCTCTGAAGCAGCAAAAATTTGCGGGTAGGCTGTGGAACGTTCGGAATTGCGATCCGATGTTGCGAGTAGTCTACCGGTGCTCTTCCGCGACCTTTCGGCCATTGTGGGCGTGGGGGCTGCTGTAGCGGGTAGCCGAGGAGGCTCCCCGAGTGGGGATATTTTCCCCTCCACAGAGAGTAGGAACAATTCTGGATATGACATTTGTCAAACACCATTTCCCCATACCCCCAACCCATCACCTTGTGCCTACGGTCGACACATTAAGGGCAGTGCAGCAGAAGCTAGAGGAGGGCTCCGGCGGGATGCCGGCCGTGATGAATGGCCTGCAAAAGTTACAAGTAGTTTAGCAGGCTGATTATCCTCGAAATAGCTGCATCATTCGCACTAAAGATAATACAGTGTAGATGGTGGTGGACCTCATTCTGCTGTCTTATGAGTATCACTGGGCTCTTGCTGAACGGTTTGCCATACTGTTTCAGTCACTAGACGTTGGGTTTGGCTTCCCCTAAATTAGAGCTTGGCGCTGATTGCAAGTGCTGTACCGTACTGGAGCATTATTGGATGTATCGTTGATTGGGACCACTCCTACACCTCACCCCAGAGCCCTAATTTTGCCAAATTGGATAGGGTGGATCGGCACTCCTACTATCGCTCACGGTCAGGGGGGTACCCGTGATGGAAGAGGGTCACCGGAATAATACCAGTATGGTACAAGTGGGCTCGGTGGTTGATCGCCCATCACGCAAGAGGCTCCACTGACGACGTGATTAGGAGATCGTCCCGGGGCAGGAAAGAGGGATGCGCTACCGATGCTAGGGATGTTAGGCTACGGTACCGTGCTTGAGCAGACCATAATACCGGTACTAGAACTCGTACATTGCTCTAGTATCGGCATTGCACTCAATGCGGCGAAATAACCAAGGCGGAATTACCATACCACGAACCACGGCGAGGCTCACAACCTGCAACGTCCCCCCGCCGGGATCCATAGCCTGCTCGGTTTAAAAAGTGGTATCGGGGCTACCATGGAGGGGTGGTTATCGCGGGTATCGCTCTGCCGGTAATGGGCTCCTTTATATGACCTTTGGGTCCGGAAAACACGCGTGACATGGCTCAAGTACCGGTATGCGATATGCCATCCGCGGGAATCCCATTTCCTCGGGGTGCAATAATACATGCATGTAGTGTAATCGGTAATAAACTTGCCGACGCCCGTTCGCGGTTCCAAAGCAAGGGCGTTGTTTTACTGCGTTTTCCGAGTCCGGAGCCACCTACCTGCCTTATGGTCTGCCGTTCTGAAGGCCTCATGATACTGTGCAAGCACAGTAATGCACTGTATCGTACGTGCAGCACCGGTCCCGGTGCTGTCGAGTCAATTGACCTGGTATTTTGCCGGAGGGGGAAGCGTCACTGCGAAGGTTGGGCCTGAATGGCACATCCAGAAAGATTTGGTGCTCCATAGCTCTCCCCTCGGTGGACCGGACGACCCCCGCAGCGAGGCTTGCAGCCGTTTGTCAAGCAGAATATCGTACGAATACTGTGAATGCCTCCTATTAACCACGGTAAAGCAATTCGAAGGCCCTAGCTCCTTGGGGGCGTCTACCTATATGGCGGGGTTATGCCTAGTCTTACGCCATAGAAAGCTGGGCTCATGTCACCGTATAAATCATCGCTCCCGCACGAGGACTCCCCTTTGTTATTCTTTCCTACAAACACCACCAACTCTTAAACCACTTTTTTTCTCACACCTCACCATCAATCATACACAATGGCCCCGTTGGTTGTCGACGCCCCGACTCCTCAAACGGCCAACGATGGCCCTGGCGGGGAGGGAACTTGTCTGAAAAAAGCACCCAGATTTACCCCGGGATATACTGTGGTGGAAGGAGAGACTACTGACTACAAATACGAACACCTTAAGCCGTCCTTCCCCAACGTTTCCTGGCCACCACTCGAAGAGGTTCCCTACTCGGATAAAGGACTTCTCGGGGATCCCGAATACAAGCATCTCCTAGCCGAGGCTGCCGATGTCTTCGACTACACCCCCAAGATTGGAACTGAGATTCATGGAGTCAACCTGAAGACCCTTACGGATGCTCAGAAGAATGACCTTGCACGATTGGTTGCCTACCGAGGGGTTGTATTTTTCCGGGATCAAAAGGATTTCGAGGTCGAGGACCAGCTGGAGCTCGGACGATACTGGGGGCCGCTGCATAAGCATGCGACAACCAGTATCCCGCGGAAAGTAGAGTTAGATGAGGTCCACGTGATCTACCACGACGGGAATAGTTTGGATCAAAGGGCCTTGTTCGCGCCCGCCTATCTTTGGCATGCAGACGTAGGCTCCCGGCTCAACCTAATCCATTTTCTCTAAAAATTCTCACAGGTAACCTACGAGATCCAACCACCCTCCTATACTCTTCTCAAAATTCTACACGGCCCTCCACGCGGCGGTGGCGGCGACACCCTGTGGTCATCTCAATACGCCGCTTATGATGTTCTCTCCGCCCCAATGCAAAAGTATCTTGAAGGCCTCACGGCCCTCCACTCTGCTGAAGAGCAAGCGGTTGGCTCACGCGCGGCTGGAAGACCAGTTAGGCGAGAACCGGTGATCACAGAGCACCCTTTGGTCCGCACGCACCCGGTCACAGGCTGGAAGAGCCTATTCGTGAACCCCGGGTTCGTGAAGCAGATTGTCGGCGTGCCAAAGATGGAGAGCGATGCTATCCTGAAGTACCTCAATGACGTTGTCGTCGCGACACAGGAGCTTCACGTTAGATTCCGCTGGGAGGAGCATACTGTTGTCATCTGGGATAACCGCATTTGCGTAAGTCTCCCCTTATATCCGGGCTAGAATTGAGGGTTTGAACTGATGGATTGAAATAATAGAACCACACCGCTACCTATGGCTTCTCACCCCACATGCGTCACGCCATCCGTGTTACACCGCATGGTGAACGCCCCGCGCTGGACCCCAATAGTAGGTCCCAAGAGGAGGTCCTCAATGAAAAGACAGGTAGGGCGCCCGTTGATAAGAACGGTGCCAGACAGTCAAACTACAACGATTAGGGAATCACGGGAGCACATGGGATCCAACCAGCATAACCTGATTGTTGAGTACTGTACATATCGTGATTTCGTTTCTTGCGCTATTTTCATTTTTTGGTTCATTTCAGTGGGCGCAGGTGCATAAAAAGCAGAATACCTGCGATTACGAGGTAGGTTCTTACTTGTTTATTAAAGCGAACCTACTGCTAGTATATCTATCTCTTCTCCCCTCTCATGGTAAATCCTTTTGTGGTTGTTTCCCTGCCCGAGTTCTTTTTCTTTGAGTGAGACAGGTCTTTCGCCTAATATCAACCAAGCCACCCCATTCCTACCCCGGACAGCTGGCTGATATCACGATCCGGCATACAAACCATGAGAATCCCCCACACCTTCCCTCCTCCAGTAAATCACAACCGAGCGAGATGTCTAGTACATTATACTAAATGAACAATCAACAAAGAAATGGTACCGGTATTCAACAAGAACCATTCTCAATCTGCTCGTATGTCTCCTTCATGAAGTGAAACCTCCGACCCGACCCCGATCCAGTCTGATGACGTTCGGCCGATGCAAGGGGTCCCGAGGATGGCCAACGCGAGCCTTCTCTCCTAGCGACAACCTTGGCCCCATACGCCATTATTTTCTGAGAAGATTATGTGCACCTTAGGTAATAATTCCCCCTCGGAATGCTCTAATCAAGAGCCTAAGTATTAGACCGAGTATTTCCCTATGGATCAGGAGGTCTCCTTGCATCATTAAAGTGAGGTTTAGAAAAGGTTTTCCCGGTTTTTGATGGGTTGTGTGCGATGTAAACGGGGAGGTAGACAAAATTAGTAACAAAGAGGAAACCATAATTCGTTTATAGAGCACTGTGGGGAGTTTTATAGGGCTTGAGGGAAGACCTGGGTAGTGGTCTGCTCTGTTATGAAAAAGTGATTGTGAGTTCCTAATTTGGGTGTTGATATGATGGCGAAGGAGGATATGTCGTAGAATATGAGGAAATATTTTAGGATTACTGTATATAGTTGAATGGTACCTCCGCTCCTAAGAGCCTTTCCCCATAGCTGCCAAGGAATCGGAAATGTTCACGGGTGGCATTCCGGCTCGGCGCTCAACTTCCGCGGTGAGGTTTTCACTGTGTGCCCTATCAGTACTGTACCTCCCCGTCCTTGACGAGAGCCCACTCTCCGGTGTCAAAACGGGATAATGAAATCTTGAGTCCTCCAAAGGGAGAAAATAGGGTATACAGCAGCGAACCCAAAGCGCAGAGTTTGAGTGCCCGGGCCGTTGGTGCTCCTCTCCTCCAGCCCCATATGCTCACATGAAGGAGGGTGTCATAGCTAGGCATAGGAGCCCTCTTCTTAGTAGTCTATATCCCAAAGCCTTCCACTTCGGGGGTGGAATCATGACTCTATATCTCTATCCTCAGTGTTCTTGAGCATCAATGGCACAAGGTTCAAGATCTACCCTGCTATCACAGGCTTTAGGATCGTGGTCTAGGTGTATCTACACGGGAGCAGGCACCGCAGGGGCTTTTTCACTACCGGGCCCTCAAGCTAGAGATTTTGTGAATAAGAGCAAATATTTACAGCACCGCTTCACGCACAAGAGCTGATGGTTATGATACCGGGATAGTCAAGAATCCGAGTGACTTTCTATGATCCTGTTGGAGGTCCAAGATCGGAAAGGGAAGCGATGTAGACTAGGGCCCTTGAGAAACAGGTGGGGGAGCGCATCCAAATAGCTGATGGAGCCTCCCCCTAGGAAATGCGCGGGAGTCTGCTCTAATCATAGAAGTAAAAAGGCTACCCCAGTTTGCTTTGGCTATGTAACTTCGCACCCGCTGCCATTTTGCATGGGGTACTTTGGTTACCGTCCTGTGTCGTTTGGGGGGGGGTATCATGTCTAGGACCCGGTTTTCATCACAGAGGTTGATTGTTTGGGATTCTTTTGGATAGCTCGTTTGCTTCCTTGATCGCCCCAGGGAGTTCCAGCCCCCACGGCAACAGTCTACCTCTGGTCCTGTTCGCTCACCAGAGAAAATTAGAGTTCAGGGTTCATCTGGATTCTAGGATTTTTAGCTGCTTAAGGAGATGTATAGCTCTTTCTGTATCCTTAGAGAGTATCTCCATGGCTGCCCACAGCCCGATCGCTCCTTGGCCTCTCTTTAGACAATCCACTTCGGCTGCTCGCCCCAATTCTTATCATCTCCCTAGATCAGCATACCAGTTCCTCCCAAATTCCAATTTCCCACACTCCACCATGTTATACGATTACCTCATAGGTTGTCAATTTCCGATTCCTCATATTGACACCTACCTCCCTGACAGCCAAGGAACCGGCGTGAAGGGAGCTCCCAGATTTTCCCCAGATATACGCGGCGGTAGGCAAAGAGACTACAGACTACAAATATTGATAAGTTATCCCATGCCGTGGTTTCGCGAGGTTACCTGGCCACCACTTGACCAACTCCCCTACTCCAAAAAAGGAGTTCTCGGGATCGCGAATATAATTTTTTTGCCGAGGTTATCAACGGCTCCCACTACACCCCCAAGATGGGAGCGAAGACCCATGGAGTCAATATAAAGACCCTCTACCGATGTTCACAGGAGTAACCTCTCTGGATCAATTTCTTGCTGGGTGGTTGGCATGTTTCTCGGGTCAGAGTAGTTTTAAAACTCTGGCAGAAGTAAAACTCTAATCATATTGGGGGACGGTACATTCGCATGCAACTACAGAGGTAGTAGAGTGGTATGATGTGGCCATTCTATATGCCATGACAAGAGCAGTATGGTCCAGAGGCCTGTATTCACACCCCCTCATCATCTTTGGCATTCAGACCCAAACCATCCTATGAACCACCCCCTTTAATCTATTTAGATTTTTCTAACAATTGCATAAAGGTAACCTATAAAATCTAGCAGCCTTCCTATACCCTTCTCATACTCCTTCATGGCCCTCCACGCAGAGCTAGCAGCCCCGACTGCGCAAGACCCACTACTTATTGCTTTTGCTTAGCGCCTCTTCATCTCTACACAGATTACAACTTGGTGTAGTAAGTCTGGAAACGTGGTATCCGCAATCGCAAGCATGAAAAAACAAGTCTCCCATTAGAAGCAGTTGCACCATCCTTATTTCGCATCTCGCTGTGAGCAGGAATGATTTTCTACGATTTAGCTGTTGGTTTGAGTTTGTCAGACGATACCGGCAGAGGTTTAGCATCATCACATTGGGGGATATGTTGGCCAGCGCACCTCTCAGACCACCAGAACAGAATTATCGAACTCGAGTGGGTAGGCCATGTGCAATGTATCATAGCCGAAAAATTCCTTACTCCGACTTCCCCGAAGTCAGCCCGGGGGGGTCGGGTAGTCGGGCTCAATTCGATGGGGTTCAGGATGGCGAAATTCGGCGACAGTTTAGCATTCTACCCCCGCCAAGGTTATATCTGCTCTCTTGAGTGGGCGGGTTTAGCCACATCACTTCTCCATAAAAGCAAATCCATACTTTCCTTCCGTGACCAACAACACCACTCCCGTGGTATCAGAATGACCATGTGTCTCGACAGATACGGAGGCATTGTCGAGCACGAAGGCTTAGGGGGCATTTTCGGAGTCCCTTATACCCCCTCCTGTACAAGTACCCGTATAACACACACTTTTATTCCAGTCGAGTAATCATCACTAGTCACTCGAGTGGCCCACTCCGAATCAGTGACATAAACAAAAAAATTTTGCTTTTCTACTCTTCCACTACTAGAGTTAGGTCTATTTTTCCGCGAAATGATACCCAGGCCGGTCGATCTCGATCAGTCCCATGAGAAACCCGATTCGATTCCATCCGATTCGATCCGATTACCTCCCCCAACCCGACTGGATCCCAATCTTACGGCACGCCTAAAACCCCGCACAGGTTGTAGTTTCGAGCGCTAACTTACTTGTACCAAAAGTTCGAAAGTCCATCCACCTGCATCCCGTATAACCCTTGACAGAACCATTTCCTCGTGGGGTGCGCGGTGGTGCAGCGCGGTAGACGGAGCCTGTTCGGCCATGTGAACACCCTCACGGACAAAAGTTCGACACGGACAACCCCAATTCCAGTTCATGGGGAATTTGGGGTGTCATGATCCGCAGAGCTTCAAAGCTCGTTTCGGTTAGGCTGATATAGAAGCTGGACGCTTTGCATATCATAATGCCTGTCAACCGAAACCTGCCATCCGGCCCAAAATTCTCGGAAAAGTTATAATAGGGCATTGTGAATTATCAGCATTCAGTGAATGGGTTTAGAAATAGCTCCTCTGAGAGTTTTGGAGGTGACCCCTTTGGGAGGACTCCAAGGACTTTTTATCTTCTTTTTATCTCACCAATTTGTCTAACACCAATAACTGGAATAGTTTGTTGCAGTGGGCTGTTTGAGAAAGTTATGCAACGTCTCCAATTCTGACCCCCAAACACAACAACTACTTCATGTGTGACATTAGGTGGGAGAAAAAATGCATCAAATGGTTCTAATAAATGGTTTATGGACAGTGCGTGTTAGTAGCTGTGCTGATTAATCCTACGCCTGGATTGGGCTAGTTTGCGAATTGGCCTATGCAGAATGTTTTACCCCTCAATACCACCCCCGCCTTAAAAAAAAAGGAACCCGAGTTCACTCTTGGGCCATGATGTGAGGCCACAGAGTCTATCTCCTCTCACATCTATACCCTTAATCAATCAAAGGAATTAACAAATAACTACCTCCTCTCACATCAACAAAAATACCCAACCTTCACTCCCCACCACTTGTCACACCACAGAAGCAATGCGCCTCCCCGACGGAAGCCTCGCGGAATCCCAAGTAGTCGCCGAAACCCTCACTCGCCGAGGACCCTCTGGCCTCCTCCCCTTAGACCGGGCCCTCCTCCACTCCCCGCCAGTAACATCAGGCTGGAACGCCTTCTTTGGCGCAATCCGCACCCAAACCCTCCTCCCGGCCGACCTTCTGGAGCTCGCGATCTGTCGCGTTGCGGTCATTACCCGCGCTCACTTCGAATGGACACAGCACGCCCCATTGGCCCTCGCCGCGGGCGTAACCCCGCAGGGCTTGAGGGCGATTAGGGATAGTGACGATGACAGCGAGTGGGAGAAGGTGGGGTTGACGGAGAAGCAGAGGGCGGTGGTAGGATTTGCGAGTGAGAGTACCAGGGATGTTAGGGTCTCCGATGCGGCTTTTGAGAGAGTTAGGGGGTTGTTCCTAGATCGAGAGGTGGTGGAGATTACGGCGGTGGTGGGGGGCTATAATTGTGTGTCGAGGTTTTTGGTTGCGTTGGAGGTTGGCGAGGGGAATTCGGTTGAGGTGGAGGATTATGAGATCCCCGGGGAAGGTCGTGGGGGATAGACAGGGTACCGGTATGTGTTGACCGGCCGACTTGGACTGATCGACGCCTCCCACTCGTACTTGTATCATAACTTTCAGACGTTTGTGAACTCAGCTGGTGTTTCATGTTGTCGGGAGATGGGGCGGAGCCTCAAACCCTTGGCGGCGCGCAATCGCAGTCTTGTTCACAAACGCCAGATAATTACAAGTGGAAGAGGAGAGCAGGACCGCTGCAGAGGAAATAACTGCCTTTAGGGCGTTGGAATATAGGTGTACTGTACATGGAGAAAATATAATCCAAAAATTCCTGTGGGACCTCAATAGGTGCGGCTTCAGTCATTTATTGATCACTTCCAAAGACTAGTCCACGGACGTCCCCAAACACACTAGCACGCCACGTGCGCACGGCGAGGTCCTGTGAAGCATAGTGAATGTGTCTGACGTTGCCAGACATTTTTCCCTTTCCGCCCAGCAGCACGTGTACTACTTGTTTCAGACAAGGTTACCAGGATTCAGATGTCTTCAAGGAAGGACAGGAATAAACGGATTCAGGAGAGGGAGTTAAGTATTACAGTTCGACTGTCTACTAGTATATATAGTCCTTGTCTTCCTTGCACTAGAATGCGTCCTCACCTGCCTTGCGGCCCGAAGCCTATATCCATCTCCTAGAGATCAGACAAGAGTTTCTCCCCAGCGCCAGGTATTGAGTAGTATCTTATAGTCTCAGGCTAGCAAAAATTGCAGTTATTGGAGTGTCTAAGGCTTTATTTGTAGAGCTGTAAATGGGAAAGAAGAATAGATTGTCATGTGAAGAGCTGACTTATCTGCAGTGCAAGACCAGGAGCACTATATCACCGCCCGGCACGCGGTATAGATACCCGATATCACAACACTGCACTACAATCTTAGTAAGTTATTTTAACATTAGACACTAGGTAGTTTTTGTAGTATTCATTACATTTTCTGTTAACTCGACGCATAGGCACCCGTGATTGAAAACTGCCCATTATGATAAAAGTGCTTCCCTCTGTTGCCGGTTCGCGTCCTGTTTCCTTTATCACCTTACAAGCTGTTTTCACTGGGCAACTGTAAGGACGATCGTGCTGTACTGACCACACCTGAACCATCACACCTGTACTTGGTTTTATCCAACATGGATGCGTGGCCACAATCATAGAACCCTACTGGAGGAAATTCCGGGAGTGTTAAAGGAAAACCCCGTGCTGTTACATCGACAACCGGTAATTTTATGCCGTTTTGGGACAGCCGTTAATGGTTCACGCTCCGCATTCTGGCGTGCAATGCCGTAAGGGCGGACGAAATTTATGCTTGGAATCACACGATACGTGGAGGAATACTCGAAAAAAGGATCCGGAGAATTTAACTCGCCAATCACGAGCAGCGGCTGCGGTAGCCCACGCGGTAGCACAGCGTATTCATCGTCTCACCCGAGATTCTTCCGACAACTGTGCGCCATCCTGGATGAAGAAGGGCGAACCAAAGGCGAGCAACATCATCCACCCAATGATCCCTCATTCTCAGGAACAAGACCCGGAACTCGATAATCTATCTTCCGCGGGCCTTGATCGGCCGTTTTGAACCTATCAGATCAGAAGTCTCCCTCGAACCAATCCCCTGATACGCATCTCCATCCCCGTTTTAAAAAGAAAGTCGCACTTCCGTTTCTTCACAATGTCAGAGATTTCACGATCACTTCGGCCTCTCCTCGATGATCAGTAATCTTCTCATCTGGACCGCAGAAAAAAATGAGCTACCGGAGGCATCCCCCAGCACGAAAACTCTATCCCAAGACAGTGTGATAAGAAAGGGAGTGTCCGAATGAGAAGCCCTTTGCGCCTTGCCTTGTGGTGAATGCGTCTACGCAGGAAACGACGCCACAAGCAAAGTGACTTGTCCGCCCTGAATCCTGACCGTGTGGCTAAGGGAGGAGGGGTGTGCACGCGGGCCGGAAAAGCCAGATATTATATTCCTTTCTTCCCAAATTTCATTCCCTTCTCCAGCTCCTATTCGCACGTACGCCGTTCTCCCACCTGGCAGGAAATTACACTATTGTGAGCGGAGCTCAGACAACGAACAAACGCCTCCAACAACAACTACCATTGGGCTTCCAACAATCACAAAGAGCATCAATCGCAGCGATGAACCCTATAACGCCAACAATGGTAGCCGTGTCACGCGAAGAACCCGACCAAGAAGCAAGCGAGCCAGTAACCCTCTTCTCCCTCCCCAATGAACTCCTCGCAATTGTCGTCTCCCGCCTCCCCACCCCAGCTCTCAGTCGTCTCCTGCGAACCTGCAAACAATTGCACTACCGCCTAACCCCGCACTTACAGGAACGTGCACAAAGGCCATGGTTTGGCCTGCCCCCGATCCTCCAAGCGACCGAGCGGGAGCACAGACCACTGGTCAAACTCCTCCTCGCCCTCGGCGGTTCCCCCAACGCTGTGAGTCGCACAGGGTTCACACCTCTGCACCTCGCGAAGACGGCCGAGATGGCGGAAATACTACTGTCCGGGGGAGCGGATATAGCAAGGAGGAACCGCGACGGTCTCACGGCGCTGCACTACGCGAGTAGCGACGCGAAATTGCTAGCGCTCCTCGCGAAGCATGCGGGAAAGGAGGTCATCAACATGAAGGCGGGCGCGTGCGGTTACACCGCTCTCCACTGCTCTGTCAGGAACGGTGCGCGGCCCGTTAGGATATTGCTCGCACATGGCGCGGATCCCGGGATCATGGACTCCTCCGGGCGGACGGCGTTGCACCTTGCCGCGGGGATCGGGAGAATGGACGCTATCAAGGAGTTACTTGGTCACGTGGATGTGGGTATTCAGGATCACGGCGGGTGCACCGCACTGCACTGGGCTGCCACGTGGGAGTACTGGGAAACTGTTAGGACTCTCGTGGAGGAGGGGCGGTCGCCGCTGCATTTGAAGAGTAGGGAGGGCAAGACGGCGAGGGATGTTGCGGCAGAGAAGAGATGGGCGGATGGAGTTGAGTACTTGGAGAGGATGGCTGCCGGGAGCCTGTTATGAGTCAATGGGAGGGTCGTGATATGGGGCTTTGTTATGGGCGTTGGTGGAGGAGGTGGAAGTGGGGGGCAAAAGTTAATCAGTTATTATATATATCACGACATTCGTAGTTATTAATAATAGTGCCAGTATAAACATCCATATGCTAGTGTCACACCCCAATAAACAACCACGCAATTAGTTTTCCCGGCGGATGGGGGGGTTTCCCTGGGCGGCATTGGATCTTCTGGGTAGTCACCCCGGCGCCAGGTTCGGTCTTACTGATCGAGTCCTACAATAGCCCGATGAGAGAGCCGGCAGGTTCAAGGAAATCGACTCCAATGTGGCCCCTTGCCTACCTACTCGTCACGGCATCGACAGCCCGAAACACCTCCTAGAAGCCCAAGATCAAAATTGGATAAACAAGCGAGTTCACAAGTTGAAAGAGCGATGGGCTACCGGTATCATACAAAGCAAGAACCTGAATAAACGGACCAGATGCGAAGAAGACCCTTGTGAGCTTAGCAGACGGAACTGCAAGAGATCAGTATCTTGGGTGAATCGCGAGCCCAAGACAACACTCGATCCCACATCATCATGAGAAGAGAGGTTGGATCTCACCGCGCACGGGAGAGTGAAACGGCGTTATGATAAATGGGAGTGGGAAAATAAGCCTAATTTTCTGCCAAGAACCATCGTGATGACTTGTATCATACGGTATCTCTCCCCTCTTTCCCGAATTTTACCACCACTTTGGTGGCTTTTTCTATCCCCTGATCGTCAAGAAGTGAGCTCGTAAAAGTATGGGATTGGTCCCTCAATGGTGACCTGGCCAACGGAACGCACTTCCCGAAGGAAAGCAGTTTGTCGATCTTTTCCCCGGGTGGCCATACTGTAGCCCTACCGTCATTCATTCAACTCGTGAACGAAGTCCAGATGTAAATTAGGGATAGGAAGACCTGTGACCTAATGCTGATCATTTCTTACAGTGGAATAGGTCGTGATTTGTTCCGAACAGCTGACTTTTCATCCCAACAACAATACCAAACGGTGGGGTAAGAAGTGCAAGCGGCCAACCTTTGCCCTGAGGAGTACTCGTGGTTTAGGGGGCACCAATAACATCGATACTGATCCGTCTCCTCTAATGGCCCCCTCCTCCACTCTCCCGTATATCACTTCACACATCTATACCGTCTATCTCCTCTTTTCCACCACCCTACACCTTTTCCTCCAAATATTCCTCTCCCTCCTATCTCTCCCCGCAACACTGAATACCCACCTCCTCCACAATGGCGCGAGATACCTCGAGGAGCACTACCACACGCCAAACGCTTTCGCTCTGATCACCGGCGCTACCGACGGGATCGGTCGGGCATTTGCGTTGGAACTCGCCGAGAGAGGGGTATCTCCCACTTCCTGCCTCCCCTCCCCTCCATCCAACTTGTGCTGATTTCATGTCAAAAGTGGAATATAATCCTCCACGGGCGAACACAAGCGCGCATAAAACCATTACTAGAACACCTCCGGCAGAAGTACCCCCGCCAGACATTCCTTCCTCTACCCATCGACGCAGCGAATGTTCGAGCTGGGGGGATCAGTCAAGCGCTACAGGAGCTAGTGCCGGGAGTCTGCGTGACGCTATTGATCAACAACGCCGGGGCACTTCCACCTGTAAGGGCATTCTCGGGATTAAGTGATGAGGAGGTGATCGATAATGTGGCTGTGAACGTTACGTTTGGAGCATTGGTCGTTAAAGCACTGATGAATGGGTGGTTTGGCAGAAGGGCTTGCGTGCTCGGGATGGGGAGTGTTGGGGCCGTCATGACTTTGTGAATTTTCACATCGGGGAAGTCAAGGCCGGGCAAAGGGCTAATAATCGAGTGATAGACCGGGGACCCCAACCTACTCGGGATCGAAATCATTCACTCGTAAATTCTACGCCTGCTTGCGGACTCAACTATCTTCACCGCATCCAGCCTTTGCCACCCCCGCCTCCTCCTCCCCCTCGACGCAGCTGGAAATCCTCCCGATATTAGTTGGAGGAGTACGCACCAAAATGACGCCCATATCTGAAGACGGCAATATATTCTTCCTGACGCCACAAGCATTTGCCCGACATGCTTTGGCAAAGGTTGGACTTGGGCGGGAGGTTTATGGGTATTTCTGGCACGAAGTGCAGATGTGGTGCATTACCATTTGGCCGGAGGAAGGGGGGATGAGGGGGTGGGTTAATAAAGCCATGATGCGCGGGGTGGAGAAGCTGAGAGCTGAGGGATGGAGGAGGTTGAGCGATGGGGCGAGGATGGTTGACGGGAGGTTGGTTGAGAGGGGGGATGGGCATTGAAAAGGAGTCTATAGTAAGGCGGCGGGAACAATGACGATTGCAAAAGCAATCCCGAGTGTTATAGAAGCATAAATCTATAGATTGCTAATCCTACGGTACAGTGTGAAATCTACCTTGCCAGATATTCCGACGGGACCGTGAGCCATGCGAGTGGACTCACCACTGCTGACAACGATATTCGCAATTTATGCGCATCATTGATGGAGCTTTAGTGATATCGGCTCCCTCTTCCCCTGCCTTTTCCAGTACTTTCCCACCATTCTTCCTCCCTACCGTACTTTATACGGGACCTGCCCGTTACCGTAAATGGGTCTTGCGTTATGCAAATTCTTATGCTCGACCACTCGGCGGGTCCAACATCCGTACGCCCCCCTTATATATGCCCCAGTGTGTAGGGCCTGCTTCGTATGATACTTGTAACAATTGTTCGAGCATTGTGTTGAGAAGCGATTATTGATGGTCTAAAGTTGTTTCACCGCAGAGGGGATATTCCGGGGGTGTGTGAACCCCATACTGTACTTAAGCCACGCCATGCTAAACACGGCTCGTGAAAACCCCTGGAGCCCAAAACTTCACCGCTACTGTACCGACAACCCCACGCCAATCAGTCATTCCCCCCGCAATAACTGTCGTACTGTACGAGTACAGTGCTCCCTCCCTCCCGTCCGCCCCTTGCCTCCTTCCCGCAATCCAAACGAAACGGCGGTGAGAAAAAGTCCCCTGCTTCAGTTAACAATCACAAGCTCGGCAACCAAGCGCCCGCCGCTAGACCGTGAGCCAAAAAGCCACCCTGCGGTCTCTGTGCATGCGCTTGCTTGGTCACCTCACCGACTGGGGTTTAAGCAAGCACCTGCGCTGCCTCTGCTACTTGTACGCGGTTGGATGGTTACGCATCGGTACATCGGTATGCGAAAGGGAGGGGGATGAGGGGTGCGAGACAAATACTCGGTCCCAGTCTCGTGACTTTGGGGGTTTCCGGGATATTTACTGGGGGTGCGGGGAATTCCTCCACACGTAACGAGTGCTGTACAGTACGAGTGCGGTAATCAGGGGAGCGCAACCCTAGGGTGTAGTACGACTGTACGAGTACAGGCACTGTGGGGGCTGCAAGGGTGGAATGGAGCGTGAAACGTGGATTGTGCCGAGTAGAGCATTAAGTTAATTATGTACTAATTCCCGCTCCACCGGTGGTGCCATTGCTCGACAAGAACAAAACACAACGCACGAGAGGATGCGGTATTAGATACTGTTCTTTGAGGACGAGATTTGAGAGAGTTCGGGTGCTTGAAGGGGAGAAAAAATCTCTGGGCTGGGCGGGTGCATGAATCAAGGAATTTTGGGTTAAGCTTTAGCATCTGGGCGGAGGGAATATTCGGGTGGCCGTTCTGCTTTTGTGAGGTGTCTGTGCTTACGAGCAACAGCGATGGTGGTTGGAATGGAAGGAAGAAAGGAGGGTGGTTAGGTAATATGCGGCTTGGCGATACCGATGTCTTTGCATGACGGAAGGATACTTGTATGTTGCTGTGCAGTGCCGGTATCAACTGTTTGAAATTTTCACCTCGTGGGGCTTCCAGCTGCTCGCCCCGATCACACACCCCCAGCATGCTGTGCTCGCCCAAAAGAACTCACCTGGAAGCGGCAGCGAGCACCCCACTCGCCAGCCCGGGACAATGCCCACGCTCACCCGCTCCCTCGCCATGATGAGCGTTTTCTAGTCGGCCGGGCGAGGATCCCGGTCACGTTTCCGGCAAAACACGCTCCCCACATCACCATTTGTACCAGCCTTCGACGTGCTGAGTTTTTATCTTCGTCCTCTCCGCGATAACTTGCAGTACCTTGAAGTCATTGCACCTTGCCATCCGCAAGGATCCTGCCGCTCCGGTCCTAATTGAGTATCATACCGGCGCCCCTAAAAGCTCCTTCTATCCACACCCTCTCGATGGCCTTCGATCTCCGCGATGAGCGACAACACGCTCCGAGAAGAGTTCTCGTTTTCCAGATGCGGTATGGCTAGGGCGAGATGAGATTGCTGGATCTCGTTAACTGGTGCTAGTTATTGTGTTAACCTACTGCGCTAAGCCTATTGCGGGTTAGTACCATGCCCCCGATTTTCGTCGTGTGATCTGAGAGTGGACTTCTGGGGATGCGAGCTCAACCCCACACTCAACCCTGAGATTTTCCTTTATAGGTTATGTGTCACGTTTGCTATGGGCAGACCTCACACCCTTTTTGACCATTTTCTTGCCATATTTTTGCTTTTTTTGACTGATATGCCCTTGCCTCGACCAGGTGGAAGCCTTGCGCCGTGGGGTGTGAGGCTGGAGTGGGAGTCAGTGCGGGAGAAGGAGAGAGAAGGAAGAAAGGAAGGCAGGCAGGAAGGAAGGCAGGCAGGCAGGCAGGGCATGTGGGGAATATATTTAAGCACTCTGGTTCCCACTCTCGCTCCCTACCGGGTTCGCTTTGCCTCTTTTCAACCGTTATCTCGGCTGTTCCTTTGAGGTACAATTTCAAGCATTCTATTTCGGTCCCCGAGACTACTTGATGATCTCGTTAACACTGTCACTACCGACACAACAAACGAAGCGGCAGACGCTTACCACTTAACTCCAGCCGCTAACCCACCTCAAGCGATCTAAAATGACCATCCACAAAACCTCTACAAGCACTATCTCCACAACTTCCTCTTCCTCTTCCACGGCTTGTTCACCGCCACGCCGATACTCCACTCTAGAACCTATAGCCCGTACCTCAGGCTACCCTCGGGCCCGCCCTCGTCAGCGAACCACTCCTCGACCACGAGCCTACGCAACTCCCACACGATGCAGTCCCCAAATACAGGCCGCGAAGCCAAAAAAATCTCTACCCAAGAAGATCCTCAGTGGCACCGGCCAAGTCCTTGGTTTCTGCACGTGGGTACTATGCTTCTCGTGCGTTCTCTCCGGAGGCCAGGAATTCGATGAGAAGCACCCTCATCAGCGACTGTGATCGACAGCGGGGGCCGTGAAAGCGCGGCCAGGAGACAAGGTGGTGGACAAGGCCGATTATGATGTACCAGTAGATGTTGCGGCTGGAAGCTCTGGGCGTTTGCTTGCCCGCATTCTCCTCTTATTTCTTATTTTGGCCTTTCGGCGTTTGGTTGCTTTTTCGGGGCATTGGAATGGAAACCCATTTGCTGGTGGGATTTTCCGTTTCGTTCCCTATTTTCTCTTTCGGTTAGTCCTGATCGGACCGGATGGCAACGGAGGCTGGTCTGGAGGGGGGGGGCGATTCCGGATTCCTCCCCCAAGGATGGCGATTTCCTGTACTTTTAGCACTAGCGTCGATAAATAAGTCACTGAACACATTTGATTCATCGCGACCCTGTGCACCCCCCCCCCTCCCCCCCACACACTTTCTCGGCAGTCGGTATGTCCTGGCCGGAGGGTTTCCCGGGTCCCGGAGCGAGATTTTATCGTAATTTCCGATTCTGCTGGGTCACCGATAGCGTATCCTTTTGCGTAAACTTTGCCGGATGCTGAGCGCTCAGTGCTCCCGCAGCGACGGTTTCTCTTGCGGGCCAACTGGTCATGGAGTGTCACTCGAGAGGACCCGCACTGTTGTGCCGTGAGCGAGGGTTAGTGCTCGGCGGGTGGGCCACGAATTCCTCTGGTAGGGTTGTTTGAATAATGAATTAGAAGTGACATGTATTTTCATTTTCACCAACGGTGCTGTACTGTACTCTGGGGTTGTTGTTGCAGTCCTGTGAATTGAGTCAGATCTGAAGATGCTCTCACATCTTCAGCAAATAGTCACCCGCGACATGATTCCTGTCATCACTTTTGAACGCATTAATGAGATAGATAGAAATAAGATGTCTTCAATGATTAGATGTTTGCAAAGGGGGTTTTTTACAAAATTGCCTGAGGGATTGTTTTTTCTTTTTTTTTCTTTTTTCCTCAAATGTTATTTCAGCTTGTCTGGGTTTTCCGAGATCTTTAGGTGGAGAGTAAGTTTTGGTTGTCGGGCGCTATCATACCATACCCGTGTGAGAATAATTAATTACTCCTGGGTTCAGAGTGCCGTATTTGGAGGTTTAGTGCTAGGACTGGGATTGATCAAGTCTAACAGGGGCGTCCATCGCCAGGCGAATAAATAACATCCCACCGGAAGAGCTCGCGGTATGCCCCTCCCCAAATGAGTATGGGGCTATCTAATTGTGCGAGAACGGGAATGAATGGTTTGGACAAAGGTTGAAGGTATTCAAGTCGGCCGGGGGCGGGGGTTGAACGCTTTGTCAAAAGCACCTGGATCCCTGGGACTGGGTTAGTTCCAAAAAGAGAATAGATAGGTATGATAGGGCATCTAATATGTGGCGGGATGTTACCGTGGTGCTGGACTTTGTCATGTTTGGGGGGATTGCGGTGGGATTAGCTTTATTCGAGTAATGATACTTGTACAATGTTCGTAGCGGTGGCACTGTCCCGCAGGTGTGATTTTCAGAAACGCGAGCTCCCAGAAATACCGGTACCCCCTCCCCTCGTAACCTCAGTTTTCCACCAGCGCACCTGTAAGACAGCTGAGTGAATGTTGGGATTTGGTCTGTGTTCATACTCCAAGAGGGCATTATGGGGTTAGCTATGCGGTGGTTGATAACTGCGTTTTCGAGAGGAGGCATTGGTGCAAGGGCGAAAAGCAGCCAAGGGTCATGCTAGAGGGTAATTTTTAAAAATATACCTATGAGGCTAGCAGCTCATCGCTAACCCCTGAAGGCTACCAGGAGATGTGGAGCTCCGGGGTGGGAATCTGGTGAAAAACAGTGCTGAAAGAAATCGGTGGGATAAAGTGTGAAACACACTGGAGTCAAGGTTGCTTGGGCTGATGGTTTCTTGCTGCTCTGGGTGCAAATACGATGGGAAAGAAACACTAATTAGCTTATTCTCGAAGGGATTGCGGTCGGCCTGGAAGGAAGTGCCAGGACGTCCTTAGGTTAGCTTAGTAGAAGGATAATTCTTACCGGGTATGTCGAGAATTTCAGTTATTTGCTGGGGTACCTGTTATTGGGGTTTCTGTTATAGGTCCACTTCTAACGATCATCACTATGAGTATAAGTCCTTGGCGGTAACAAGGTTTTCGAAACTGGGGAGGGGGAGGGGGGGGGGGCATTCTATATAAGAATCATCCTTGAATTATACATTGTGCAGAATTTCGCTCCTCTGTGTTTGATGGATACCGATGCGTGCTGTTAGCCCGATTCTCCATCCTTCAAAGGACCTGGCACTCGTTGGGCTAACCAGGGGCTCTTCTTTGGGCTGACTAGGAGGGGGTCCAGGGGGGCAAGTGATAAACCGGGGTTGTGTGCAGTACGATGTGATACTGGATCAAAAGGCTTCATCCGATGGTCTTTTCACCCCCAAAGCACCCACTTTTATCCCACCGGCTGCCGGATGACATGAACGCCTCCTTTTATGAGGGTCCACCAAAATCTTGTGCGATGTTATCAATCCTCTAAATATTTTTCGAACCCTTTTAGAACTCTTTAAAATTACAGGGCTGCAGAGGGAATGTGGGCTAGGTGGGAGGTATGTGACTATCGTGCACCTTTTCCTATGGCACCTCATACGAAATTTTGTCACTCTTGCACCAGATGATACGATTCTAAGTTGTGGACCCAATCCCAAATTTTTCCATACTGGTGATTGTATGGGGGTGAGCGTGAAGTAATTTTTTTTAGCTGACTTGAAAATAGTAATTGCTTTGAACACGGCAGGGCTTGGGGTCGTCTCCCCGAAAACGACGGTCGTTCTCCACCTTTGGTGTAAAAACGCATGCCGGACGGAGGGCTTTGGTTGGGTACTTTTTACCTCAGAAAGACCACCGAGCCTTTCAAAGTATGAGCTGCACTGTCCTCTGGCGGAATTTTTGTTGTTATATGCAACCCCATCGGAACGACGTTCTGAACCCGCCGGACTGGAAAGCATTACAATTACACCGAGGCAGAACGGTGGCAGGTGTTAGATAAATCCGGAAAGAGTTCATGCAGGGTACCATCAACCTCCTGGGTTATATTATGGGAGTCTTGGCCCTTCACTCGCTCTGGATTTATCCCCGGCTGCACAGAACGTGCGCCTAAAAGTTCACAGACTCCTTACCCAGCTCCAAGCCCGCACGCTCAACGACCTCACCGGCTACGGGTCGACTGGCTGCAATCACGAAGCTCTTTTTGTTCTCATACTTTCCTTCCCGGTGTTCCCTCACCGGTCCTCCGTCTAAGTTGCAGTATGCGGGAGATTCAGGCCAGAGGGAGGGAAGATTTCAGCTTCGCGAGCTTTTTATACTGCTTCCCTACTGGGGGCCCCAACATCCCCTTCCACAAACCTCGGTGATCGTGGCGAGAGAACAGCCTGCAATAATCAGTGCTCAGAATTGCAGCAGTTGGAATGGTGGACTGGGCTTGTTTTCGACGCTACGGCATAGTATTCGACACTCATCTGATCAAATTCATTTTGACAGCTCTCCCTCTGGCCCAAAATACAATGGGATTGCTCGCTAGGCTGGCATGCCATGGCTATCACCCGTTGAGTCGTATCAGTATCCCATAGACTAGGGTTATCTTAGCAGAGGGCATTTCCCAGTTTATACTATACTATTGTATTATACTCTATGAGGCTATCATCTTGACTGTCTACATTAGCATGGCGGAAAATCATGCATATGCGAGCAAGTAGAAAGCGATAATCTACTTGGCTTTGGGAACAGAGTCGCTCGTGATAAAGAGAAGAGACAGCGCTGCTATGATATCGGCACTATATCTATGCTCTTGTTCAATGGGAGAGATAGAATTTCGGGGCATCCTTACTTTTATATGAGCACCCGGGATTGCTTATTCTAAAGCGTCTCGACAAGCGCTGGATTGAAGCCATTTTTCCTCAGGGGAGACGAGGGCAGAAATGTCCGGCCATGCACACGATCCATCAAAAATTTACTGGCGGTAACTGATCTCGGCTTAGCCATAAGCGCACAATACTTTGGCAGTTCCTGTTTGTTGTATCTAGTTCCTCGGTTCATGAATTTTTTTTACGGTAAAAGTCTTCAATGCCACAACCTTGGCATGAAAATATCTACAATACCACAATACCTTAGACTAGTTCGGTCTCTAATTTTTACGCCCCCCCCCCCCCCCTACCAACTGTTTACATGAGTACACGCACCCCTAAACACCGGCCGTCCATTCATGGGCAGTTTGAAACCTTGCAGACATAGATTCCTTGTGTCGAATCTCGCCTGGAAACTCGGTAGCTGAACTTTTCATGGATAGACCAGTCATGCGAAACCCCTGCAACTCCACCGAAGGAAGAGAAACGTTGCCCCAAGGCCGGAGCTGGATGGAGATCAGATAAGGCCCGCCACTGTAGGATCGGGGGAGGAAAACATCCGCAAAAAAACCAGGAAGGAAAGAAAGTGATGAGTTGTGTTATGGTGAAAAGTTTTCGTCTACAATATAATACCGGTACTAGTCTGACATGTTGTGGCATTGTAGATATCTTCACGCCGGGGGTGTGGCATTGAAGACTTTTACTGTTTTTTTTAATTTCGCCTGTGAGTTCAATGGTGGGGGTTAGGTTTGTGTCACTGGATGTCACTCGGGATGCTGGTCAAGATGTATGTTGAAATATGTGTTGGAATATGTGGACATGAAACTAGTGTCAAGCTAGAGGACACTTAGCATGAAGCTGGATGGTACTTAACCCTTAAGTCAGGGTACTAGTAGGGGGCTGGTGTTTGGAGATTGGTGGTGTGTCTTAGGTATTACCAAGAACAAGCAATCTATTCATTCTGCTATTACTTGTTGATATTCATTCCTGGGTTTTACAACAGGTTATGAGCCCTTTGATGCCTAAGAACTGCAAACAGTATTAGAACCACCTTTTGACTTCAAAACCATGTGAACATTGTCTGAATATCCTTGATTCTTATACTGAATTCTATCTTTGCATCAGAAGACTGCTGCATTCTGATCCTCCTTGTCTCATATTGAAGATTGACTACCTTGCTTAAATAAGAATTGAAGAATATTGTATGAAAGTAATACCCTCAAGCCAATTATTTCTACCAATGATAACAGCTACTTTCCGTGTCCTGCTGGGGGCAATGGGAAGCTTATGACAGATAACTTCAGTCACTGGAAAACTGATATCATCATTCTCCTCACAGCTTCTTGTGCTATAGAAATTGTACTTGAAACTAAAGAACCACCCCTAAATGACAACTCTATAGTTGCCTTAAATGCTATGAACAAGTATTTGTCACATAAAGCTATAGCCTATGGCATGTTAGTGGGGTCCTGCACTTGTACCACTTGTGCTTATGC